GCAACGCTTCGCCGTCCGTAAATAATCGCCACGGAAGAATTAAAGGGAGGATATTTGAACCACGCTTGACTTCTAATTATGAGGATTGGAGGAACTAGACCTAGCTCTAATTAGTCAAGTAGGGGCAACCAGAATTAGAACTAGAAGAACTAGAGGAGACTCCAAAACTTATGTAGAAAATTGACCAACACCTCAAGTATATATAGCTTTGGAGGGTAGGAGGGGGCGCTACACAAGGGAGGAAAGTCCTCCCCCCTTGCACCGGCCATGGGGAGGGGAATCCCTCCCCAATTCGGCCTCCCTCCCTCCTTTCCAATAGGAGAAGGGGCGCCTCCCCCCATTTGGGCCTTGGTGGCCCAAGTTGCCTTCCTTCACTTGGCCTTTGTAGGCCATTTGATATTAAACTAATTATTAAAGCCCTCTAATAATTTCTAGAGTATATTATATATAATTTAACACATCCTAAATATTTTCCACCTATATATTAATTATTGGTAATACCCGGTATAGCTCGATAAACTCCAAAACCCTTCCGGTGACCCCGAAACGCTCCCGGTTCCTCTCGCAAATAGTATGGATATTAATGAAACAATTTCACATATTAATCCTCTCATCCTACTAACACTCAACAGATCATGATTACCTTAAGCATGTGACCCCTTAGTTCAGTAAATCATATCCATGAATGAAACCCCTTTGTTCAATGAACGATAGCAGAACCGTGGACGTCCGTATCAATCATTACACGAATGAAATTCGAGTAAACCTGTAAGTTGTCCTCATTTGGGTTAACAACGATTATGGGCCGTAATTTTCATGTACCCCATAGAAAACATCTAGGCCTAAATCAGCGTAAGCTTTCTTATTTTTGATAGGCTCGTCGCCTTAGTGGGCCGTTACCAGGTCTAAACATAATTTGGGACCTTAGTAAGAACAGCCTGTTAGCATGTGTAAATATATCATGGGCCTAAAATGTGAAATATATAATAAGTGCCTTTAGTAGGCCAAAAGTCAGATTGGGCCAGAATAAGCCGAGGGCTTTTATGAGGCCGAAAGATGATTGGGCCTGAAATGTCCCGAATAACACACTGGTCATTAGCATGTCGAAATGTATCTCAGCTCATGGTAGCCCATTTACAATGCAGATTGTTAACAGGCCGAAAATCAGACGGGTCGTAATTGCGCCGACCTACTACATGAGACTTTACCAGGTCGGAAGTGCGGGTAGGCTTGATTTGTATCAGCTCGTATATGAGCCGTTAGTAGGCCCAATGTGACGTTGGGCAACCTATGGCCCATGTATTTCGTCCAACATTAATAGGCCGAGAAATACAAAAGGCTGGAAGTGTCCCATATCTATAGTGGGCCGTTGACAGGCTGAATTGCAAACCTAGCCGAATATGGCCCAATTCCTTCACGGTCTTTCATGGGCCAAAAATTTCATGGGGCAATAAATGGGCCCAAATGTTGCAGGACCTTTAATAGGCCGGTAACACCCCTTGTCGTAATTCGGCCGAAATACTTAGGGGACTGTTAACGGGCCAGAAGTGACAATGGGCCACCATGATAAGAAATCTAGCACGGGCCATTGACGGGCCGATTAGGCACTATTCCTACGGGCCTTAAGTGTGAATGGGTCGTATACAAGCATGTCGTTAGTGGGCCAACCTGCTAATTTTGACTGGGCCAGGCATTTTTAACTTAAATGGGCCACTGTTGGGCCTTGCCACGTGTCGACATTTCATAGGCACCTCATGTCCATTGGGCAGTTGCCATGTGTCCGTACGCGAAGCTGACACGTGGTTCCTACGGCCAATGATAATTTTACACGTGCAAAATCGTCATTGGTCACCTGTTAACGGGTTATGGATCCAAAACCGGACCAGATAGCTTAACGGAGACCCATTACGATGGAAGCCACGTGTCGGTTACCCATGACAAAAGTACTTCCATGACACGACAATTATCGTCATGGAAGTGGACACTTCCGTGATGATAATTTTAGTATTGTCATGGAACACTTCTACGACAACACATGTATGACTATCTTAATTCTGTCATAAAATCATTATGGATGTACATGCATGGCAAAAAATGTGACCTACTGTGACAAACATGTATCATAACGGAAGTGTTTTTTTGTAGTGTTTGATTCAAATTTTAATCCTCTTTACTCTTTAGTAATTGCTTCGAGTGTCTCTTTTTAATTTTCTTGTGTCCTAAATAAAATAGCTACTCTCTTAAACCCTGTTATGCCTTTCTAGTTGGATGAGTTCCTAAAAGGAAATTTTCTTGTTTGGATCTAGTTAAAGGGAAAATAAAAGGTTGAGCATTGCATTTCTTAAAGGTATAATTCTTTTCACCTCTTTGATTGGTTCTTATTGTTAATTCTTCATGCATTAAAAATGTTTGCAAATGTCCCATAGGTTCTATTCAGATAATATTTGTGTTGGATTTTATGCAATGTTAGTTTAATTGATTGATCAAATAATGGAATCTCTTATTATGTGGTCTCTAAATTTACTTTGCTTCATTTTTAATCAACATTAAGAAGAACATCTAGTAAATGCTATGAGTATGGTAGTCTAATCTTGCTCTAATCATTTATGAATAGTGGTTGATTGTGCTTGTGCGTTTGAGTAAGTATTAGACTTTTGATCATTAATATTTGTGAGTTGGTCATAGCTCAACCTTATTGCTAGCCTATCCCTTGTACTAAGCATGGTTTGTTTGTCTTACATCCAAATCCTTTAAACCCAATATCCTTGCCATGAGTGTCCACCATACCTACCGATTTATGGTTCTAAACGTCATTCCAATTAAATTGTCATGTACCAGTAAATCAAGACATAAAGGCTATTTATTGTCTTTCCATTTATGTAGGTAAAAATATGGGAAAACATGCAGAAGTTACGAAAAAAAATCTTGGAAATCCACGCAGAGAGTTGAGATGAGAATGAGACGTAGGGGCCAAAGAGCACCGGGGATGGAAAGTGGAGGTCCACCCCCCTACGGCGTGCCAGTCCCTCCTCTGGCCAAATTAGGTCTTCTGGTCCCTGGCTTCATATCGACACAAACATCATAGTTCCACCCTCTTCCGGAGAAGAATAGATCTGCACCGACGTGGAACTTCCCAAGGAGATTTCTCCCTCTGCGGTGCCCTGTCGGAGGGGCTTCCGCCTTCTTCCACCTAGTTTTCCACCATACCACCATGTATTCCGCTCATGAGAAATGAGTTGTGAGTAGTCCACCCAGAAGGCTATGGGGTTTGTATGAGTAACTATGTAGCAGATCTCTTTCTCTCAATGGATTGCATGAGCTCCAGACATTGTTGGAATCTCATCAATGTAATAAATCACATGAGCTGCTAACATGGTTATGATCCTTTTGTGATGGAAGTTTCTTTATAGATGTACTATCTACCTTGTGTTTTATCATTGTCTTGTATGGATCCTTATCTCTTGAATCTTGATCTGGGCCAGATTGTGAGGAGATTAACATCATAGAAGGTGAAGTGCATGATTGTGGAATTGGGAAGGGATGGATGGCATACCTAAGTGACAGAAATAGGGAGCCAATTTCGTGTTACGGAAGGGCACATTACCTGAAATCCACCACAAAAGGGGTAAAGGGAAAGTCTCTCGTAACTTCATGTCTTGAATCTTAATGCATTACTCTATGTCTTTACATTTAAATCCACTTTGGCAGACACGTAGGGGAGGAGTATTTAGATCTACTACCTCCGTCTCGGTGTATAAGTCATTCGCGTAGTTTTAGGTTATTGATTTGAGGAATTAAATATGTGCTATATGTCATGAAGAGTATATCATTAGATTTCTACGCAGATGTAGTTTCTAAATGTATATTTCTTGACTCTCAAAACCGATGAGAGTCTTTATTATTAAGGGTGTATTTGGTCGGACTCCAAATGTTTTGTCCGACTTTTGCCATCCAGGTTTGTAATATTCATTCAAGTAGCAACCTTATTCAGTTTTGCCTTGCAACCTAACAAAGTTTTCTTCCAAAACACTGGATGACCTTAACCCATCCACCCACAGATATGTAACCAAACACACCCCATTTCTCACCTATAGCGTCTTCAATTCACTGTCCAACAATGTGCGATTTGGCAGCTCCTAGGGCATGGCGCCGGTGTCCCTTCGGTGTGCAGGCCTCCGGCCTCCCACATCTCTCAAAGCATTTGATAAGATTTTGTATGCCAACTATTAACCTTTTGAAGAAGAACTGCAATGAAAAGATTGGATAAACTCCTTGATGTGTACTACTATATATAATCTGGCCAGCCGATAAAACAAAAACAACTCCGTTATTTTTTCAGTTGGAACTGCAATGAATATTTGAAATATAATAATCTAATATTCATTTTTGGTATGCAGAATTGCAAATTAATACTGAGACGCTTGGTGGGGCGTATCATTGTATGGGAACCTGAGTGAGGCCGTATACATAAGATGAAGAAGATACTGTTGGCTGATCGAAAACCGAATACAACTTGCCAATCTCGAAAGGATAAACAAAATAAAGGTGCCGGCCACAACAATTTGAAAATGCAGGTCAAGTTAAATCATACCATCCAGACATCATAATACCTGTTGATTATTATTTTTTGGGCAGGGAATAATACCTCTTGATTGAATGAATAGCACAATTGTCAGCTGAACGAAACAGCGTAATTAAAGATACACGTCCTTCTTACATAGACAAATAAGCAGGAAATAGCACCACACCTAGCAAAGATGTGGTGCCTTATTACATCACTTGGAGTCAGGGACAGCAAACAAGCAAAGAGTGCACATAGGAAAGCACATGCGGACACTTACACCTTACAAAAATCCTATTAATATCCTATGATTCATAGGAGGCTTAATGGAAAGGCTGAAGCACACCCCGACACGTATGGAAGGTCGACAGATAGGTAGGCTTTTCCTGCGCCAAACAATATGGCAACCAAGCAAGCACAAAGGAATCTGGCTTATTCATCATCTGATTTCCGACCTGCTTTTCACATTACAGAACAACAAAATAAGATACCCATGGAGTACTATTTTATAGAGCTAGCTGCTGTCTACCTAGTTTAGTAGGGAATAACAAATAAATAGTGATGGAATTGCAGTTACCGATTTTCAGCACCTGATATCTGGTCTTCTGAGGGAACATAGAAGAGGTATACATTAGTCAAGTTTGTTTCCGCATGAAAATCATCAGTGGTAAGATGGAATCTTTTACTGCCAGTATCCCCCATCTCCATGTGTGCCATGAGTAGCCAGGCGAACGTGATGAGCTCTCCTCCACCGCTCAGCTGCGCAGCATGCATCGCCGCCCTCGACTTGCCTGCAGCGTAAACAAGGAGCCGCGTCCACATGCGTGCTAACTCCTCTAGTGTTTCCTTGCTTGCCTCCAACTCCAATTCATCACAGGCATTTTCAGCATTTTCAGGTTTGTGAAAGTTATCGAAGCTAGCTGTCGCGCTCATAGATAGCGGCAGCATGGAAGGGTGGTGAACCATAAGGTACATCATGTAGTTTGAAAGCTTCCGGCATACCTCCATCAGACCAACAGGTACATCTGCCCTTGGACGATTTGTCTCTATGTCAGAACGGGAAGAAGCATATTGTTGAAGATGTGCCTCAGTTAATAGATGCATCACGACAATACTATAACCAAAATCTTTAAGGCAGTTGTTCATTGCTGTTTTCACATGGGAGCTAATGCTCTGCCATCCTTGGGCTTTATCGTCGCTGGATTCAGAATTTAAGAGACTAATCTCTTTTACAATATACTCCACAATCATGTTATCTGCATCCATGTACTCAGTGTCTAATAACTTGCTCATCCAAAATATTTTCCTCTTTTGGACACCAAACAAACCCACAAACTTTCTGAATACCATCATTATTCGTTGACTGTGTGTTCTTGGCTGCAGGTTGCTGTTAGTCACCCAACCATGGAAGTTGTACTGTCCAATCGCATTTGGCCACCGCTGTTCCATCCTTGGGTATCCGATGTCCCAACGAAAGACAAACCACGAGAACCAGGCAAGTGTGTCCCACTTGTGAATCTTCAACCATGTCCATGTCCAAGGTGACATCATGGAAACAAATATTGAACAGACTTCTAGGAAAAAGCACCCGGCAAACAATGAATAGGTAATGATAGTGTCAGCTTTGTTATACCTCTCTTTGTCATTTGCAAGGAAGAGTGCAAAAGCAACAATAATAGATGCCTGAGAGATGCACCTAAGTATAACTCCGCTCCGAGTGGTGAACACAAGGGCCTTGGTGTAGAGATCATCATACATCATTCCAAGCTGAAGCTTGACCATCCGAATCACTTGGTCAGTTTTGTCTATCTCCGCTAATTCTTCTCTTTTGGACCCAAACATGCTACGCTCGGATAAGATATCAATGGTATGATGCATGGAATCAAGAGCAGCACGGACAAACCCATCATCATCCGAGATTCCTTCGGGCAATTGTTTTCTGTAACGTTTTGCATCTGTGCTCTCAAGACTTTTAAGGCTGCCACACTTGAGAGACCATGTTCTTTCCCCATACTTGATAATTCCAGCAACAAACACAAAGCTACCCGCAAATAGAAGGTTCGCACTGTGTTTTCCGATGGATTTCCAGAAAACATATAAAGCTATGACAACTTGCGTCACCAGATTCAACAGATGCCTCAACCACAAGTTGTTGTCCTCCATGGCGAAAGCAGTGATGGTGTCCTGCCCGCCAAGATGGATGAGAAGAAATGGTGCCCAAAAGATAGCTAGTGGTTGGGTTCTTGTAAGTATGTTCGTTTCAGTGGTGTCGTCTTGACGCTTTGAGAGATAGCCCAGTGCATAAACTGCTGCCAAATCTGCCCCTAAGTAAGCTGCCCAGGTGGAGAGTCTCAGGAACCCACTGCTGCTTTGGCGCCGAAGCCTGCCAGCAAAGAAGAGGAACAATTGTAGTGTGAAGCTGAGTAGCACAAGTATCTGGATTTCCCACTCATGGAATAGTTTGGTCGAACTGTCCATGGCATGCAGATTCCTTGTGCCTCGGACCACCTAAAACATACAACAACAAGTAATATGATTCAGTGTGATTTTTTCTTTCTGCAAATAGCAAGACTGCTAATTAAAAAAGAATACTTCTTTTGCAATGAGGAAATAATATCCAATGTTTTTGTTTTGGCTCAAGAAAAACTGGAATAACATATAAAGGATATATAAAGGACATATCGTATGTATTTCACTTGAATTGCACCCGGGATGTAGAACAAAGTGAAATGCGGACGTGCCAGTTTATATAACGAAAATACACAAATGAACAAACAGTAGGAATTATTGCTTTATTTAATCAATTTATAATTATAAAAAGAATACAATTCCTCTAGATAACCAAACCAAGTGATTGTCTAGCTCTGATTCACGGGACGTCGGAAGACTCCCGCTTAATCACTCCTGTAGGTCCTAAAACCCTCCAAACACCTCCGATTAAGCAAGAATGTTTTAGTTGTATTTGCTAAAACTCATGCATGCAGGTATGGTGGTAGAAGTAGGATAAACGCCGGCAGAATTCGTGTATGTGTATGTACACGCGCAGGGGACGTAGCCGTATGATATGTCTCCTACTCAAGGTAGAAAAATGTATGGTAATTTGCATGTGAGTATGTGAAAAAAATCCATTCATAGACAAACTAAAAACCCAACATAGCATAAAGGGATGGTAGAACCGCTCGGCCGCACTTAAATCACATGGTAGACGCCTCAGATTTAAAGGGTAATGGTGCACACAGTTTGGCACTTCCGAAGTAGCATTGTGTCAAGCTTGACACGGCATATACTCACGGGGTTTAGAATAAAGTTAAACATATGTAAAAAAGAGGCCGGATGGCACAGCTCGTGGGATAAAGGTTTCAGATCTTGGGACCGAACGACCATGGACTTTGGATAGTTTTGTGTGAATAATACTTGGGCACATCGGCCGGCAAAACTTGGGCTTAACAACTAGTTCCCAGTTTTGGCGTATAATAAATACTGCCAAGACCAGAATCATAGATCGAACAACTCCTAATTCCAATCTTAAATAATTTGTAATTAGAGATTTATATTAATTTCCTACCTTATTATGAAAAAGGGCAATTAACAAGAAAACTTAGATCAACAATTCCGTACACACGTCACCCACCTCACTTGTAGTTGCAAACAAGTGTGGACCGTCGCGGCTGCCATGCAGTTGCGGAGGACGAAAACATATTGAGGAAGGGCGAACTCTAAAGCATAATCTTTATTTCATTTTATTAATGCATTCAGGTCAAATATATACATGTGGCAAAAAGAAAGACACAGCATACATTAGTCTTCAATGCACAAATCCTAGCTCTCATTACTTATTTTCGGCCACATTCAGGTTAACCACCACAGCAAGCTACAACAGTATAGTTGGTTTCAACCTCACTTGAAAAACTGGAAATTATGTAAATTAGCTGAGTAAGGACTAGAGTGTTGGCTACCAAATCTGAATGCAAAATTGGAGATCTTTATTCTATCTAGTAAGCTAAATCCTCTAATTTCATAGTGTTTACGTACGAAAATAAATGGTACAATTGTGGAGCTTCAGCTAAGCAAGATCTCATCCTTCGAGTGGAGATCCTCTGTCACATAATTACGAACCAAGTGCCCATCTTTCAATGGAGTCTTAACAAACATATGAAGAACAAAAGCATGGGATGGAGGATTACTAGGTAAACTATACCTCAGATCTAGCCACTCATACCTATGTGCAGCACATCTCTAACTAAAAAACGTCCAAGATTGAAGTAAATAATGCCATAGAAAAGGAAATCATCACGATAGGGTGAATGGGGATTTGATTTGTTTTGGTACGAACCTAGCTAGCCGCCGCCGGGAAGGAAACCGTGGCCAGGGGAGCCGCCAGCGACTTGTGCTTGCTAGCGTCGGAGCTTGGTGGAGGAGCCCCTAGCAGAGTCGCGTCGTCAGACCATGGAGACGGCAAGGTCGGCCAAAGACGGAGACGGCAAGGAAGGCGGCTGGGCGTGGCTGAGCTTGGGTTGCAGGCGGCAGAGGCTGGAGGGGGAGGAGCCGAGTCAATTGCAGAAAACTACCACATGTGTGGCTAGGTTTGTGGAAAACCACAAAGTCGGTAATCCGTTGCAAAAAGAACACCGCGATTTCACTAAACTCTTTGCGGAAAGTACTGATCGGATGATTTGGCCCGATCACCTTCTACAAAGTGGGGCCGGATTGTAAGGAGCTTAATGGACAAGAATTAGCAGACACACCCCTAGATATCCACAAAAAACGCAATCAGACCCCCGCCCTTGACAACCGCGAAGGACTGGCCCTACCGTCTGGTACGGTGACGCCCTCGTCGGCGCCGGGAGGGCTACGGCCATGGCGAATGATAGAGGAGACAGCTGGTGTGCGTGCGTTTTCAAGGCATTGGCCTGCCGGTGCTGCAGCGACGGTGGCGTCCTGGTCGGCGTTGTGGAGCACGCGCCGGGAGCCTAGGCGGAGGAGTAGCACCTCCTACGATGTGGTCAAGTGTGGGGGTGGGGGTGCAGGGGAAGCAGGCGACGAGCCGAGTCGACCTGCTGGACAAGTTGTTTCCGTCGCCCTCCTCCACGAAGGAGGACGAGCTCGAACCAGAGGCCCTCCGACGCCATCCACGTTAGAAGCTCGGGTAGGAGCAGTGCACGGCGGCTCAGGGCGTCCGCGCCATGGAGAGAGGGCAACGGGTGGGCTTCCGGCGGCGGCAGCGCGGTCAGCTACGAGGGTGCGCGGCGGTTGCCTCCTCCCGATTGGATAATGCGGAGCGAGGCGGCTGGCGGCGGCATTGCGGTTGTTCTGGCGGTGAGGGCGCCGGCAACCGGAGCCCTGAGCCATCGTGCCGGCATTTCGGCCTGGGCTCCACCGGGCCGGACGGATGGCAGCAGCGCGGCGGCGACGCGTAGTGGATAGGGCGTCTGTGTTCCACGGGGGAGGTGCTTTTGTTTTTTAATCTAGGGGTGTATGTGTTATTTTTTTGCTAAGTCAATTTCTTACAATCTGGCCCCACCTCTAAGAAAGTGATTAAACGGGTCAAATCATCCGATCAGTGCTTCTTGCAACGACTTAACAAATTTTTCGATGTTTTCTGCAACGGATTAACGAGTTGATGGCTTTCTTCAAACCTAGCCGTAAATGTGGTGGTTTCTTGCGATTGACTCGGAGGAGCCGAACGTCAAGGAACGACACGGGGCGGTGCTGGCCGACGCGAAGGGGTGAAGGGGAAGTTAGCGATGGGGGGAGAGAGCGTCCCAGAGGCCGCCCTTGAAGGCGGCGATGAGCCCGAGGACGGCAGGGCTGCAAGGGGCGACGGGCCACACCCGGCTCCCACCTCATCACGCAGCTGCTCTCGCTCCCAGCCGTAGAAGTCGTCGAAGAACCGGAGGTCCCTGGCCCCAACGACGCCGCACTTCACCAGCTCGGCGGCGCACCCCACGCTCTCCCGCATGCGTGGGGTGGTGACCCGTGGTGTGGCAGTCGGTGGCGCAGGAACAAAAGGTCAAAAATACCACCTCGAGCGGAGGAAGAGCCTGCGATGGGACGGGGAAGGAGTCGACGGTGACGGTGCGGAGCGGGGTCGGCAGCCACCGCACCAGATAGGAACGACACGAGGAGGGGCCGCGGGGTTTCGATCAGTAGGGATCGAGCCGGCGGAGCATGGAGGCCGGCGATGAATACCAACCATACCATACTCGATCGTGCTATTTCTGGGTCTGATGCGCCATCGGAGCAGACAAGCCCCACTTCTCAGGGTATGGATTCCATATCGAGCTTCAAATATTAGGTGTGATCGGCAAACTTGGGATCTAAGAGTCCATAAGGAAGGAAGAAATGAAGGCATCGTACCTCAAGACTCAAGTAGCTTGTGTTCAACTGCTAGAGAAATGACTATCGGCTAAATACACCGGATTAGGCTGCCTGCACTTAAACTTCCCTTTTGAGAGCAGAGATAACCAAGGGCACTAACTAATGTGAACTTCTGTGCTGACATTTTTGCTTTGATCGGTTTTTATTGCCTTGTTGGTCAATGCCTAGTGTCTTTCTTTTCGTGTTTTTTAGAACAAGGCGGCCATATGGGGCCAATTCCTTCCGTAGGCAAATTGCCAATTACAAAATTAGATGCGTGCGTTACCACTAACAGCAATTATTGGAGGAAAAAAAAATGCTCCACTGACAACGTCAACGTCACGTCCGACGCCAGAACATTGTAAAACAGTATAACACAGCGAGTTACAAGGCTCCACAGCGCCCTGCCGTCGCTGGCCGTCAGATGCTTCCATCGTACGTCCCCTGTGCATCTTCGTTTTTCAGTTGGGCCGCTGCTCCGCAGAACTATTCAGGCTTGTTGCGGTTGATCGGGCCTGGGCGGGTGCACTGGCCCATTACATGATTCAGTTTGCCTATGCCCGCATCGTCTCCTCTCTGCTTGTTCTCCGCCTTCGCCGCCGCCGCCACCACCGTTCTCCTCTCCTTCGCCAACCCGAGATGAAAAGAAAAGACACGAAATAAAATTCCCACCATGACGTCTCCTCTACCATCCCCGTGACCGGCGGGCAGCAAAGACGGAGAAAGGCAACGAGAGATAGATCCACCTGGCCGAGGAGGTGTGGCTGACCGTCAGGGCACGCCAATGACCTCTCCATGGCCATTGAGTTGGAGGAAGACACTGTACTTTGTTCTGGTTGGGCGCCCTGTGGACCAAATCCGATGCAAGATGCCATAGCCAGTGCTGGTGGCAGTGACACTAGCATTGGTGCGACGGGGCGGAGATAGTGTGGACTGGGTTCTCGCCGACCACAAATGGTGCTTTGCATAGATGGAGTTATGCGGAGCCCGCGTGGATCTGCCGTGTCCGGAGCTTTTCCCACGAACTTCCGCCTCATCATTCTCACCTCAGGAGGACGTTGCACTCGTCAGCGGCGAGGCACCATGCTGGATCTGTTGCTGAGCTCATTTTGTTGGTTTTT